CATTTTAGGGACCACACAACCTCTGTCACGCCTACTCAACCCTGTCTTTACAGGAGAAACTGCCACAGACAACACGTAAATGAATGTGCATGGCTGGGTTCTTAGAATGCTTACTGGACATTGCTACCATTTAGTGAGCTCCTCTTATGTGCTTGCAATGTGCTATTTAGAAACTCTCAAGTTGGGAACATATTACTTACATTATTCATCTTCCAAGCTCACTACAAAGAATAGGTTTCCATAAATGCTTCTTTATGGACATTGAGATTTGAATTTCATACAATTTTTATGCATCATGAAATCTTCTTTTGGCTTTTTTCCAACTATTAAAATATGTAAAAATCATCCCTAGCTCACATAGCCGGAATGCACGCAAGGTTTGATATCAATGAGAGCTTTAAATGAATTCACGCTTGTCTGAAAGGAGAAGTACCCTGCAACCTCTCCTTCTTCTTTGCCATTTTAACTGCCTTTGAACAACACATGTCTGTGACAATGTATCTATGAAAACACGTCTATTTTGCATGGTCTTCTTAAACCCCACAATGAATACTCTGAAGGGAGCTCAGTGTTTGATCATGTGTTATTAAATGTCAAAGAAATGATTAAATGAATGCATCTCCAACTCTACTCACTTATCACTAAAACGTTCATCAATGGAGGGATAGACAGTCTCACTAGTTTCAGATTGAAGCCAACTACTTTTGGCTCAGAAACTGCAAGGGAGCATGATCATCAGTCTTACATTGATCCTGACAAGTGTCATCCTAGTTATGCCGATTAAAGCATATCTGGGAGATCTTATCAAGAATGTTGATGTTATAATTTGCAAATGCTATGTGCCAACTTTCAACCGCAATCTCCAGAAGGAATTTTATGAGAAATTTCTGAAAGCATGGCAGCTTTGAGATACGTGGGAGAAAGAAGTTAACTCTAAACACTTAGCTGACTTAAATTCCAATTCAGAAATCTTCAAGCCCCAGAATACCCTGAGTGCTATTTCTTATAATTACTATTAATAAGACTTTGACTTACATAAGTATTCCTCATTGAAATAACTCAAGGCACACTTTTAAACAACAAAATATTGTAAAATGGGCATCTTTGTATTAAATTCCTATTCCTATTTTAGGTAATAAGTATTCAAATTTTGGTGAACCCCTATACAACAATAACTACCATTCAGTGAGCTCCTCTTATGTGCTTGGAATGCACTATTTATAAACTCATAAGTTGGGAACATCATATTAATTACATTATTCATCTTCCAAGCTCACTACAAAGAATAAATGGAGAAATATGTCACCTAAATAAAACAATGGATGGGTGATATTGAACACAGAATATCTGCAATGCACTTCTTTTCTCTAAAGGAACCCGGGAACCCAGATGGAAACCCAAGGCTGTCTAATTGCAGAAACAGAGCTGTCAATCACCACCTAGAACTCTCTCTGCAAAAATAAAAGTGTAAGACAAAGAAAGGCATTATCAAAGAATCTAGGAAGTCCTTATATGAGAAACTAGCACTAAATAATTCACTTTTTGAGAAAGTTTGAGCATATTTCTAACTCTAAGTAAAGGGAAATCTTGGTCATAAGAAAAATGACCTCTGTGTATTAAATGTCTAGTTATTGTCTGGTATTTTACATTTATATCAAATCCTCATTATAGACAGAGTAGCTCCTTCCAATCACCCTTATTTTAGTTAGAAGGAAACTCCAGCACGGCGAGTTTAATTTGTGCAGAGTAGCAAGGCGGCACCTGCCTTGCTGCCGCCTCTAAATCACAGTGAGCCTAAAACCTCCCACAAAGCAGGGATGAGCTCCTATGTTTAATCTCAGATAGTTGAGGAGAAGACGCTTTGAGAAGCTGCAGGTTTAATACTAAAGGGTGATTTCACTGTTAAAAGTCATCTTACATACACTTCACAGAAAATGGAAATGACTCCACTAGTCTGTGTACCTTTTAACACCTGAGTTCACACAAGCAAATGCTCCATGATTACCTCACAAGGTGACTAATTTCTTAACAATTTCATGAGGATCTCAACTCAAAGTCTGCCACTCAGATTGGTGTGTCTAATTAAATGGTTTAATATCAAAACATCTACAGATAAGGACAATTAACACAGGAAAGGTGGAAAGGCTGGGGACATCGAGGGTGCCACTCAGGGTCTCCTCTGCTTGGATGGGTTTCCTAAAATGACTGCAGCCTCCAACAAGAGAGTGAAAATACCAGAGAGGCAAAGTTAGATCTGACAACACTAAGAAGCCATCTGACGGCCAGGACCCAGGCATGGGAGGCCACCTCCGGGCCACTGTTCAGCACACAGACAGATGTTGAGTTTGTACTACAGGTTGGCATGAAATGAGATCGTGCGCCAGGGCAGCTGAACCAGTGCTGCAGGTTTCGGTGGCTCAGTGGGGCTGGCAGAAGTCAGCCTGCTTCCATGTGGACTTAAACAGCCACTTCTCGAGGTCTGAGTTTCCGCATCCTCAAAATGAGGAAGTCAGAGCAGATGACCGCCAGGGACCCTCCCAGCTCAGACCTTCCAGAGCTATAAACCCTGAAGCTCAGTGAGGCAAGAGGCTTGCTGGGGCAAGCTGGGGTTGACACTAGGATGGCAGTGAGCAGAAAAATGGTTCTGGGATGTTCATGGCAAAGTCATTTGTAATATAAATACACTTTCTAAAATGCTAAATGCTCATCTGTAAGGAAATGATTTAATGTGCTGTGGCACTTTCCCACAGTTATTTAATAGAATAATGAAGATGCACCTGCAAGACATACTGTTTGGTGAAAAAAAGCAAGCTGTGGCTTATAACTACAGGAGTCCTCCTTCAAAATGCAGCTACTATTTTATATAACCAGATGTAAAGTGTCTGTAAAGAAGAAAAATCACTCTATGGATAGATGCTGCCATGGTTTGGCCGTGTTCCCACTCAGATCTCATCTTGAATTGTACGCCTATAATTCCCATGTGTTGTGGGAGGGACCCGGTGGGAAATAATTGAATCATAGGGGCAGTTTTCCCCATACTGTTCTTGTAGTAGTAAGTTTCATGAGATGGTTTTATAAGGGGTTTCTCCTTTTGCCTGCTCTCATTCTCCTGCCTGCTGCCATGTAAGACGTGCCTTTCACCTTCCACCATGATTGTGAGGCCTCCCCAGCTATGTGGAACTATGAGCCCATTAAACCTCTTTTTCTTTATAAATTACCCAGTCTCGGTTATGTCTTTATCAGCAGTGTGAAAATGGACTAATACAGACACCTTTGGTAGGGACGAGATTTGGGATGGGAGGATTCTCTATGCTCCCAGTAGACTTTAGTATTATTTAGAATTTTTTTTTTTTTTACTAGAACAATATATTCCAATAATCATTAAAAGTAAACAGCATCTTGGGTGTTGGTCCTGTGGCTGCACCTGTTCAAATTTATTTAGTGAACTTGGTCCTATAGTACCGACCTCTCCACGCTGACCCACAGGCCCTGGTGTCCAGTCACCATTCTCTCCCTCAGTGTGTTCCCCCCGGAGCAGCTTCTCCCAACAAACACAGAGTCCAGGAGCACAGGCCTAGCCCAGACACTGGGTCCTGATGTGGCCATAGCCACAGCTGCACCCTTTCCATTGCCATATCCCTCCCTTGCCAGAGATTTTACCAGATGGTGCCTAGTAAAAGAATTTTAAAACTTCCAGAAGATCAAGCTTTCCAAATGGCTCTCTCTTAACAGAAAATTTCTAGTTTCATGAACAAAATCACAGATAAACACGCTAGAGTTTCGTAGAAAGTACAATAAAAAGCCAGGCAGCTTTCCGGGCAGTGCTGGGTGATCGCAGCGGGTCTGCGTCTGGGCCCCTCCTTCTAAGGCCAAGCCTCAGGGACGGGAAAGATGCACAGCTGCTTCAGGAGCATTTCACCCAGTGAGTGGGCAGCTGAGTTAGCAGAGCTGGACTTTAACAGAAGCCCCTGCCCCACCTTGCAACCTCGCTCATCAGCTCAGCTGCTTCCCCCAGGAGGTGCCAGCTCAGATTAGGAGCCAGTGCCAGCCTCGGCCGCAGAGCCAGATCCTCTACCTCAAAAATAGCCTGATTCCTATCACGCTTCCCCGCCGGCAGGGATACCACCATTTGTGCAAAATGTTTAGGTACACATTTCACACGTACAGGCTCATTAAAATAGTCCATTTTATTTGGAATGTCATAGTGGAGTAAATATAAATACAGTAGGAAAACAAAATCAGAACCAAAATATAATCAGAATGTAATACAATCAGAAAATTAAAAACATAGGCAGAATAACTTAGTAGGTGAAAGCAATTTGCATGTTAGGAATTGGTGAAGAAAGTGCAGTGTGACTCAGAAGGTCCAAGCATCCGTCCTAAATTCCAGCCCTGTGTTCCAACCCCTGCATGATTCTGCCCCAATTCAAAACCATGCTGGAACATGAGCTTGGAGACTGGAGATCCCACACACAGAAGGAGAAGCTGAAGACACTTAAAGTGGAACAGCATTCTCTAAGGCTGGGCAGACACTCAACAAAGCGGGTGAAAGTGACGAAAAATGGAGGAGCCTCAGGGGGTGGCAGGCACGGAGGGCTCCCTTTATTTTATTGTATTTTCCCTCTTTCGGTTGTGAGGACAATCCACCATGGTTCTAAAATCACCGTGGCCCACGCCACGTGGAACCCACAGGGCCCACAGCCACAGATGCTTGGGTGGCACTTCCAAGCCTGGTGGCTGCAATGGGAGCAGAATGGCCACCCGGCTTCGGATCCGCGACCCTCACTAGCCTATCCCTGAAGTTCTGTAAGAAAAAAAGCCAGGACACCTTTCTGACGGGGCTGCTCGAGCTTGTTGTGGATGAGGAGCTGTTGAATTCTCCATTCCATTCTCTGAAATGGAACTCCATTCCATCGGAATTCTCCGATCCCATTCTCTGAAATGCTTGATACGCGTGCTTCTCCATGTGAAGCAAATGCCTCCCTTTTTGAGATGTGCCCTTTAGTCTACTACTTAGACTTTACCTCCGATGACACTTCAGTTTCCATAAGCTTCAATCGCTGCATTTTCAGCCGGTTCCTCTCTGCACTTCTGGAGTAATTTCGGTTACTCTTTGCACAGCTCCCTCTCCGAGTCCACAGAACTCATCACAACTGGCAAGATACCACGGCCTCCAAGGTCTGTCCGCGCCTACACTTGGCGACTATGACAACCATCAAGTGATGCAAGGCTTGGGGCCCGGCAAGGACTTAGAGAAAAAGCTCTGTAGAGATTGCAACAAAAGAACCCAGAATATTGTCGGAGTGAGGCCCAAGTAAAGTTGTCAACAAGTCAGGGCAGATGTGCCTTAAATGGACCCCTGTCTGGTGGGAAGGTTGGGCTGAGGCTGGCAGGCTTGGGTGGCCCCTGCCTCGAAATGCCCCAGGCTGTCATTTCCCAGCCCTGCCATCCTGGCTCAGTGCCCAGCCTCTTGCTCAAGTCCCCACTTCTGGAAAGTAAAGCATTAACTTTTCAGGACCAACCGAGGTGTTGCAGTGAATAAGGTGGCCCAGGCCCCCCAGATGGTGCGGGAGTGACAGAATATGAATGCCCCACCTTCTTCACCCCAGGGGGGTCCCGCACGTGTGTACTACCTTCTTCACCCCAGGGGGGTCCCGCACGTGTGTACTACCTTCTTCACCCCAGGGGGTCCGCACGTGTGTACTACCTTCTTCACCCCAGGGAGTCCACGCATGTGTGTACTACCTACCTTCTTCACCCCAGGGGGGTCCCGCACGTGTGTACTACCTTCTTCACCCCAGGGGGGTCCCGCATGTGTGTACTACCTTCTTCACCCCAGGAATGTGCACTGCCTTCCTCACCCCAGGACGGGGGGGGGGGGGGGCTACACGTGTGCACTGCCTTCTCTCAGCTGGTGCCATGGGACCCCCAGTAGTACCAGGAAGGCCGTGCCAGTGCATCAAAGTGGCAGCCAGGATCCAATAACAATACATACATACAAACAGAAGCAAGGGTACTGTTTCTCAGTTGGGTGCACTATGATTAGAAAATAGTCTGAACTAACTCTACAGTTAGGAAATGACTGAATTTTTCCCTGAGTCATAATTTTCTTTTTCTTTCTTTTCTTTTTTTTGTTTTTAGATGTAGTCTCATTCTGTTGCCCAGGCTGGAGTGCAATGGCGCAATCTTGGCTCACTGCAACCTCTGCCTCCCGGTTCAAGCAATTCTCCTGCCTCAGCCTCCTGAGTAGCTGGGATTACAGGCACGCACCACCACACCTGGCTAATTTTTGTATTTTTAGTAGAGATGAGGTTTCTCCATATTGGCCAGGCTGGCCTCGAACTCCTAACTTCAGGTGATCCATCCTTGTCAGCCGCCCACAGTGCTGGGATTACAGTTGCGAGCCACTGTGCCTGGCCCCTGAGTCATAAAGTACATTTTTGTAATATGTTTCATGGACACTTGAAAGGTAAGTATAATCTATTTTGAGGGTGTGGATTTCTCTCTTTCTCTGCATATATGTCATACACATGCACATGTATGGACATGCATGTATGTATGGGTATATCAAATATGCTATATTAAGTGTGTGCGTGTGTGTGTGTATAAATATATTTGCCTCTGATTTGTGGTATCCTAACAGCGATGAGTTAAAGTTTCCTAACTTTGTAATCCTTTTTCTTCCTGTATTTTCTGCAGTTTTTGCTTCATAAATTTTGATGCTGTTACTTGATTTATGGAGGTCCACAGCAGCTAGCCCTTTGTTGTAGACTGCGCCTTTATCATTATACTAAGGGGCCTTAACCTTTCTTTGTTGAACTATTAACCTTGTCTGTTATTCATATTGAAAACTGATATTTAAAAAAAAAAAATCCTTTTATACTAGACTTTTTGAGTTAATCTTTCACAGACACATTATTTAAGGTGCATTTCTTCATCCAAGTGGGTTGTTTTTGCTTCTTCCCTCCATCTGAGAATTTTGTGAGGTGTGCTCACCCCACGTATGCTTTGTGACACGGCCACCATGCTGGGCCTCAGCTTTGTCACCATGCGTCACTGCACAGGTCCTGGTTTTCCTGCCACCTGTTTCTAGTCTGTGGCCATTTGGCCTGGTTTCCTAGTTCTATGCTGAGTGTGCAGGTTCCTATTCTTTTAATGTGTACCATCTGCAACTGGTTTTAATTTAAAAGTTTTATGATCAAAACAAACATCTATTTCTTGATTCATCAACTTTACACAGACTCCTGTCATAGCCTAGTCTGAAAGAAAAACAAGTTAGCTCACCCCCTCCCTTCCTCTCCACTTGCATTTTTGGTTTATTAGATTATAATACTTCATTTTTCTACCCATTCAATACCTTTGTATTTGACTTCTTAAGTTGAAATTCTCTCTACCAACTCTCTGCTCGGAGAGTTGAGGAAATGAAAACAGACTCTTCTCACCTCATCTTCCACTGTTCTAGCTTTTGTTATATTCTCTTCTGAGAGCAGAAATGCCAAAGAATAATCCCACATTCTTTGGCTTTAGTTTTATATTCAAATAGACTTTTTCTATTTGAATATCAAACCAAAACCTTCTGTTTCTCCCGGTTTTTCCATTTATCCCTCGGTTTCCTGGACTGAGTACAAAAAAGTCTTCTCCTTTTTTTTTTTTTTAAAGAAAGGCTTATGTTCTTATGTCACTCTGTTATCTGATTTTTCTAATATTTAAAAATGTCTCAATTTTCTTTCTCCTTGGAAACAACCTTGGCTTTGTATTAAACCCTCACGGATTATGTCATGCGGTGTTTTTCTCCTTAAAAATTCCATTTGGAAAAAAAATGTACGTATTATAACGACAGAGACTAGGTGGGCACGTGACAGGAGGAAACTGGTCTAGCGGGTGCCCCTGGTTGCCACCCCTCACCCTCCCCTTCCGACTCCCAGCACAGCCCAGCCTCCTTCTCCAGCCTCCAAGAGCCCACAGCAGGTGGACAGCACCAGGCAGTCAGGGGGAGCATCCCTGGAAGCCACCTCCGTGGGAGCCTCGAAGGGAGGTAGAGGAGGTGGGGCGCATGCATGGAACCAAAGGAGTGTGAAAGGACAAGGAACTGGGTGAGCCGGTGGGGGGTGGGGCAGGCCCATGGGGAGACCCTCACTCCACCTGCCTTCCCTTCAGACACTGGAGACAGGAGTGAAACTCTGAGTTTCTGTTGGCACAGCTTCCTTGGGCCAGCCTGGAGGTTCCCGACCTGCCCCACACCACAGAGACTGGCTCCAGATATGTCAGGAAGGGAGGCTCCTGGCAGCCCAGGCCCAGAGGGAAAGCAGTGTTAGCTGAGGGGTAGAGAGGAGGCAGAAGGTGCATCACCTATGATTCCCCAGCTTTGAAGAGAGCTCAGAGGTGGCTTTTGGGGGAACTGTCAGATTTACTAAATAGCACCATGCTGAATTGCAAACAGCCTGGCCCCAGAAACTGATCAGAAAAGAATGTTTTCAGCCCATGAGTAAGATGTAAGAATGTGCTGTGAACCTTTATGATTCTGTGAAAACACGTGGCTTTTAGGTCCTGTAGAAATGCCCATAGGCTACAACATAGAAGATTTTTTTTAAGTTTAAAATCTTACTTCACATAATTAGTTTGATAAATCTACTGTTTATAAGCAAAGTTCTAGCCACGGCCATCGGATGTGGTACAAGAATAAACTGAAAAGCAGACAGTACCTAGGACAAGGACAGACCACAGGCTGATGGTTTGCAAGTAGCTGTGGAAGATAAAGAAGCAGCAATCCCGGGGAAGGGGCTAAACTCCACTGGGAGAAAGTTCCATTCCACCTCCGATTCTTAGAGTTGCAAGTACCAAGTTGACACAACACTTAGCAAACTCTTAGTCACCTCCCAAGAGCCCAGACCCTGCAGCAGAGGCTGCTGTTTGCCAATGATTGTTCCCCAAGTCAGAGACACAGAACGGAAATGAAGGAAGGACATGCGTCCTGCCACCCACATCAGACACACGTCCCTTGCATGAATAACTTAGACATTTCTGAAGTGACTCACTGATTGATCCAAAATATATAACCATGATCACCTTAAATCACATAACCATGATCACCTTAAACAAAGAACTGGATCTTGTGCACTGATGCTGCTGGCACCATTGGAAAGTGACTCTTGCGACTTGAGTTGTGATATCAGTTTCCATAAGCTTCTGTGAATTCTTGTCAAAGCTTGAAAACTGAACGCGGCAACAAGTTTAGGTGAGGAGTGTTTGGCAGATGAAACCCCTCCAACCGGGAGGTGACGGGTCTCAGGGAGTGTGTCTGGCAGGTGGGGAGGAATCCCAGGCTTGGAATCTACGGTCCTTAGCGCTGTCTCCTCCACCACGTAAGCCAAACCTGATTTCTGTGAAGAATTTTCCACTTGCACTCATGAAGACATGGCCATTCCCAGGTATCTAAGTGTTCCTCAGCTGATCAGAAACTTACATGACTTTATCAGAAACACTCTGAGATGTACACTGTTGTGTTCGTTCACCGGGACCATATAGCCCAACAGTTCCTCGTAACCTGGGGGTGGTTTCTCCTGAGAGCGTTTATACAATTAGCAGCTAGCCTCCTCTTTTTCAGGTAGCCCATAAAGACCTGGAGAACAACAAAACACACCTCACATGTCCTTCAACAGGCCGTAGAATCATTCTGCCAATGTGTGAAAGAATTGAAAGTAACACAGTTTACATCATATTATTATATTGCATATTACAATTATAGATCATACTTTCAAACACACACACACACACACACACACACACACCTGTAATGCCATATATGCTGTAACATGTTACCAGTTCCTGAGGTTTGGAAGATGGATCATGAAGGTTGTGGTGCCCGGGGGCAGTGCTGCTCCTAAAAAAACACCAGGGCACCAGCACCCAAAGGCGCCAGGACCCGGAACATTAGCACCCTCAGGTATCAGCGCCCTAAGCACCAGCACTGTAATGTGCCAGCACCCTAAGGTACCAGAACCTTCAGGTACGGCACCCAAAGCCACCAGCCCCCTAAGGTACAGCACCCTAAGCACCGGCACTCTAATGTACCAGCACCCAAAGGCACCAGCATCCCAGACATTAGCACCCTCAGGTATCAGCGCCCTAAAGCACCACACCCTAAGCACCAGCCCCCTAAATCACCACACCCTGAGCACCGACACTCTAACGTACCAGCACCCTAAGGCATCAGCACCCTAAAATATCATCAGCAGCCTAACGTGGCTCCCTGGCCTGGTGCAGTGTTGCTAGATAAAACAGTCAGATTGTCAGGAGGCAAAGCCATAGTTTGTAAAAATTAGCAGCTTGCAAAGCTGAAAATCAGAGGCCAGACTACAGCTTCAGGAGCTGAGCACCAGTGACCCTCTGACAGGGGGTTTGCCACCCATGAATTTAACCAACTGAGGGCCAAAAATATTTGAGAATAAAACCAAATGGTCATATCCATATTAAACAGACTTTTTTCCTTGTCATTATTCCCTAGACAATACGGTACAACAACTATTTCCATAGCACTTACACTGCATTAGGGATTATAAGTAATCTAGAGATGATTACAGAATACAGAAAGATGTGCTTAGGCCATGCGGAAATACCGCGCCATTTTACATGAGGGACTTGAGCAGTGCAAATGTTGGTATCGGCAGAGGTCCTGGAACCAGATGCGGAGGGATGACTGTATTGGGGTGGGTGCTCATCTGTACGAATGGGGAGGACTGAACGGGGTGATTCAGAGCAATGTTCCCAGGCCCAGTCACTCATCAGATCCCTGCCCCTCATGGCAGAGACCCAGGTTCCATGTGGCGTGGGCAATTCCCAGGACCTGAAAGCAGGGGTCCCCCGGGGTCTCGTGAGCTTCCAGGGTGAGAAACTGCTGTCACAGGGAGCGCTGCAGCGGCTACAAAAGAGTCACCCATGGGCACGTGACAAGCATATTCTCTCTTCCAGTTTGGGCATCTTTACTCCGGTCTCTGAGCCATGTTTCTGCAATGACCAGGGGAAGGGTGGACAGCTTCCTTCAGCTGACTCAGAGAAGCCCTCCTCCCGCTGGCCAGACTCACACCCTCCAGCACACAATCCAGACAAATTGCTTGACCAGAGGAAGCCGGAAATTACTAGTGTTGTGTTGATTTTACAATAGAATCAGTAGAATGT